AGGACCCTTGGCGTCTATGTATGTCTATGAAGTCATTGGGTGGATTTCAACGGTAATGTTTATCACCTCTACTAATTAGGATGACATAAATTTCCATGCTTCTTCCTCAAATTTAATACATTTTTTAAAAATTTGTTGATTTTTTTTTGTGCGTGTATATATCACACAGAACATCCCAAACCATCTTATTCGACTATACACCCATTTCACAGTCGGTACCCTCCCATAGCCTCCTTCCCTCCTCTAGAGCCCTTATATTCTGATATCCCTGCTACTGTCTGCTGGGGGATCTAATCAGCTTATCTAGAGGTCTTTATTTTAGGAGGGTCAGCTGTTGTTCTTCCAGCAGCAATCAGTTGTCAGTATTCCTTTAGATAAGATTGGGGTCGGCTGTTCATTTTCCCAGTTCTATGCTGGGTTACTATCTGGGAGTCCCTTTGTTCACCCTGGCCAACAACTCAAAAGAAGGTATCTCCTATCTAGCATTGTTGTTTGTTATGTAGCCTTTAGCTATGCATATGGACTCTTAAGAAATTATATTGACCCCTTTAATCTTTGGTTATACTTTCCTTTTGTATGTTTAAGGCCATACAGCTAGCCCTGATAAACCAATTTATGTTTACTCTTAAGGTCTTTTGAGGACCTGTTCCTCAGGGGTCACACAGGCTTGGGAGGAGCCCCTGGCTCCTTTCTTTTACCAGTCCTGCCTATGTGAAGATAAGTCAAAGGTCCTGTTCAACCATGGTTGGCTTCACTAGGAAGCATGAAGGAAGTGATTCCTCTGTGTTGACCCTCCTCTTTGTAGACTGGACACTAGTTCAAGTCCATCTGGTGGGGTCTTTGTGGCCTCCTTGATCTAGAGGACAAGTGACCCACCACCATTACAGGACATTTTGAGAGATGTTCATAGTCCCCTGGAACTAGTCAATCTAGGAGGGCAAGGAGCAAAAAGTGTCCTTTATGTCCCTTTTACCAAATTAGTATAGGCCTCAAAGTATGTCTGTTAAACATCCAAGAAGGTTAGTTCCACTAGTCTGGTACTTTTAATTCCTGTGTGCCATGTAGATAAGTCTTGTGAAAAGACCAATTGTTCTCATATAAACCTTGCCTAGACATATATTTCTTGATCTGCTATGTATAATTTGTCAGTAGGTTGTAGGAGTAATATGGTTCCCTCTAGTTTTCAAAACTAGCTAGGCGTTATTTATCTCTCACATTCTCTCTCCCCCCCACCATAGTTTTCCCACTTCAGGTGCCCCCATTTCCTCCCTTTCTCCTTTGATAATACCTTTTTCCTATGGTCCTACCTCTCTTGAGCTCCTTCCTTCCCTTTATCGCCTAGGTTCCTTGTATACCTTTCCCTCCCCCCTCCCTTAAACTAACCCAATTCTTATCCATATCTCCCTTATTAAGGTCTGTTTCCTACTGTTCTTCTCTTTCAGGTTATTTCTTTTCCTTTACCTCCCTGTTTCGTTTCCATTATCCTGGTTCCTGTAGTTATGTCTGGTTGTGTGGTCGCCAGCTGTGGCTGCTCTCCTCTGGCTATGGCCACTCTCCTGCTCTCTTAGTTCCTCCAATCAGTTCTCCGGTCTAGACCCCAGGGCTGGAGAGGAGTCTGCGCCAAAGTCACTGCATTCAGACACAGGAGACCAGGTTCAGAGACACAGATCTGCTTTATTGAAGGAAAGTACAGGCTTAGCTAGGGGTAATATTCCAATCATAACACAGCATATGAGATCCCTTATTAGCATGGCAGACTAGTATCCTATCACACTCTAGTGGGCCAGACACCCTATTAGCATGATAAGTTTCAGTGTCTTTAAGTTTCGTATTACTGGAAACCATGTGACTTACATAGATTTCTCTCTGATAAGAAACAGGAAACACTGCATTCCAGCATGATAGGTGTCTGTTGTGATGTTTCCCCTTTCATCTTTGATTTTATTAATTTAGATTTGCTCTTTTTTTATTTTGGTTAACTGGGCTAAGGGTCTGTCTGTCTTTTTTAACTTTTCAAAGAACCAGCTCTTAGACTGATTAA